TGGGATGCCACCCTCTTGGAGTCCTAGCTACTTGGAAGCTGAGGCAGGAAGATGCAAAGTCTAAGGGCAACCTGGGCAATTTAGGAAGACTGCTGTCTCAACATAAAATGTAGAGGGCTGCTGAGCAGCACTCTGGGCTGTACCAGATCTTCCCAGGCTGGCTGACAAAGAAAGGAGAAACTGGGCTGGGGAGATGGCTCCGTAGAATAAGTGCTTGCCTGGCAGGTGCAGGATCCTGAGTTCAATCCCCATGGGAGGGGGGGGGAACCTGAGGTGCCTGGAGCAGCCACCACTACTCCGCATCTGTAGAGGGGAGGAGACTCCATCGCTGTGTCCCTGTGCCGAGGCTCACAGGGCAGGGCGGGGAGCGGAGAGTCAGGAAAGTGAGCAGGGAGTGATGTTTTGAGCGTCTCCAAGGAAACGGGTACACAGGGTGGCTGCCCAGGCAGGGTGGCCTGCCAGGCTGGTGTGGTGGTGGCAGTGGCGGTGGCGGTAAGGCCCTGGTGTACCCAGAAGAGAGAGGACCCAGCCTTCTCCTGCGCAGTCTGGGTCTGCTCAGCTTCTGAAATCGCAGTTGTATTTTGTGGGTAGTCAGCCTGTTTTCACAACTTGGAACTTGCATGTGTTTTCTGTTTTGTTTTAGTTTGATTGAGACAGGGTCTCACAGTGCAGGCTGGCCTCAAGCTCACTTACGTAGCCCAGGCTGGCCTCGAACTGATGGAGATCCTCCTGCCTCAGCCTTCTAAGTGCTGAGATTACACATATGTGTGTCTTTCCTTGGAAAGGAAACGATTTTCCAAGGAAATTACTAGAGGCTTTTGGTGTGGCCCTCCATCAGAATCATGAGTTGTGACCACTGTGCTATTTACCAGCCCCCACCGATCTTTCTGCCTGTAGGATAAACCCTCGCAGACCAGCCTGCCTGGAGCGGGCGGGCTGTGCCTGTGCCTCATGTCAGGGCTGCTCAATGCAGCGCTGTGCCAACAGCGACTCCAGCAAAGAAGCGCAGGTAGCCCTGGGCAGGCTTGAAATTCATCTTTTGGATAAAGAATTCAGGCACCTCATACAAAGTTCACCCGGAGCAGAGGGCATGCAGGGAGAGAAAAGTCAGAGAAAGCTCTGTTCCTGAGCGGCGGGCCCACGTGTGTGTGTGTGTGTGTGTGTGTGTGTGTGTGTGTGCACCCCGGTGTGCACTTGTTTTAATAGTGAGCAGGCGTGTGCAGGTTGTTTCCAGTGAGGCCCCGTCCTTGCTGCTGCTTGTCTGCTTTCTGTCACTGTGACAAGTACCAGAAACAAAGTGACTTTGGAGGAGAGGTTTGCCATGGCTCTGTTGCAGATGTCTTGGTCCCAGCCTGTTTGTTGCTTACGTGGCACTGGCTGGGAAGCAGAAACAGAGGCACGGAGAGCCATGGGCCTGGGTCCCAGGGTCCCCTTCGGGGCACACTCTCAGTGACCCCACTTTCTCCCCCCTCCCCTTGCCACCTCCGGAGCCCCACCCACTCCCAACAGCACTGTGCTACAACATTCGGGGTCCAGCCCGTGATGGCTGTGGATGCCTCCCCTGTGTCCTTGCATGGTCTTCCTTGCATTCACCCCTGGTGTCTCTGAGAAGGACACACCAGCTCTTAGGACCTCGTTCTGTCCAAATCTCCATGTCCCAGTTCAGTCATGCTGGGGGCACTTCAGTATGGGAATCTGGGGGACATGGTTCAGTATATAACCAGTGGGGACCCCCAGCTGCCACAGGAGGGCCCCATTGCTAGGCTCAGGGTCACAGGTGGGAGCTGGTGCCAAGGTCCACCATCTGGAGGACCCCAGCAGGGACAGGACCCTGGGCCCAGGGCAGGGTGCTTGGTTCTGTTTCGAAGATCTTCTGGCCTTTGGCTCTGAGCCCCACCGTAGTCAGCTGGTGACTCAGGTGACAGCAGTGACAGTGGCTTGTTGTGGGGAGGTTAGGGAACGCAAATCCAGCCAAATCCAGGGAGAGCACAGAGTCCAGGGTTACCTGAAGCCTGGAGGACAGGAAGGGTGGGGTGACCTGGGATGGCACTGATGTGACTGACTTGTGGGGCGCAGGGCTCCTTGTCTGAGGGACTGGTTTACTACCTTCCTCAGTCAGGAGCAGGTGCTGCTCCCCAGCTTTCCTGGGTGTCCACTGCTGACCACTCTGCAGTCTCCTCTGTCTCTGAAAGACACAGGTCCACTAGCCACCCACCAGGCCAAGGCGCCACGGTGCCCCCTGCCTGGCAGCGCCATGTAGCGGGTATGGTGCCGGCTCAGGGTCCCCTCCTAGGCTGGAGAGACTCTGGCCAGTTATCTCCACTGTGCAGGGAGCCACATCACTGGAGGAAATCCAATCCTAATTGTGCTGAGGACACAGGATGCTGTGCTTCCAGGCCAAGGACTCTGGGCGACAAACATGGCTTCCCTTGGCCTGTGGACCCCACAGTGTACATGGCAGCAGCCCTCCTGGTGCCTCACAGTCAGGCTGGCTGTAGGGCCCTTGAGCAGGCTCCTGGTGGTCACTCTCTCACACTTCAGTGGCTCCACCACAGACGCAGAAGTGCCCCCCCCCGCCTCCCACACTCTACCGGTCCTCCCTCCAGCCTGACCCTCACCACCTGTGACTGTTTCTCTGCCGTGAGGTGGGCACTCCTTTGAGCAGGCTCTTTGCAGCCCCTCGGACCCAGCCCTGATATCCTGCCTGAGGCAGTCCTCCCAGCCCCCACTCACAGCATCTTCCCGCCATTCTTGAGGGCAGTGCCAGGACCCACAGAGGATGCCACACCCGTCACAGCAAACTCCATTGCGGAGTTGCCTATACCAGCCCCTCCTGCAAACATGAGTGTCTGAGTGTCACCCTGCTCAAAGGGTTCCAGGCAGGGATGGCCTGAGCAGCAGCAGTGGTGAGAAATCACCAGGCAGAAGAGAACAGAGTAGCTGAGCCCTTGGCAGCACTCAGGGCCTGGCAGGGACTGGGTGTTGTGGCTCCGCCTGTGGCTTGCGGCACTGAGCGGCTGGCTGAGGTGGGATTCTCTGTAGTGAGCAGCAGGTGCACCCGCGCGTGCGCACACTCCAACCCCACGCTAGTACTCGTGCATTTACACTCTCACATCCACACAAATCCACGCTCTCATATACTCTGATCCACACTCATACACACCCACTCACACGTGGCGCACTCCTAATCCTCACACACTTATGCACCCCTCAGACACATAGACGTACGTTCTCACGCTCACTCCCGTTCGCCTGTGCACTCCCACAGGACACACACACTCAGGCTGCTCTGGGCGCCCACGACCGGGCCCACAGCTCACTGCGCTTACTGCCTCTGCAGGGGGGCCTAAGCCAGGATGGCAGCTGGGTGTCTCCTCGGGGTGACATGACTGTCCTGGTTGCTACATTGCAGGTGTGCAGCTCCCCCCGTGCATGAAGCACTCACTTGTATCCTTTGTGTCAGCTGCATGTGCTTGGACCTCGGGAGCGGTGACAGCTGGATTCTTAAGAAACAGAAATTCAGCATCAGGAAGTGATTTTGTAACAGCATCAGGAGCAGAGAAACCCAGAAGCCTTTCAGCCTATGTGGCCCCTTGTTCAGACCAAGTGTAGATGGCCAGCAGACCGGAGACCAGGCTGTGTGTCCCTCAGAGTGGGGCTCTGAGCTCTGCCTCCAGTGAGGCCCAGGGACTGCTCCACATGGGTGGGGGAGCTGTGACATGAAGGTGGGGGCAGAGGCTGCAGGGTCCTTTGAGCATCTCAGCTTTGCACTGTCTCAAGCCAGGGCAACCTGGTGGTGGCCGGGTCTGTGCTTGGTGGCTGGAGCCTGGAGAGATGCTGGTGTGGACCTCTCACTGCTACAGGGCAGCGGCACCTCACAAGTGCAGGCCTCATCTTGGGTGCTTGGCCAGGGAAAGGGCACAACTGTCAGTGCCTGGCTTGCCCCCATACCGCCATGGGCCAGCAAGGCAGGGTCCCGGCAGAGCCCAGAGTACAGAGCCTCTGCGTGACCCTGGCTCTCATGCCACAGGGTTGTGTGGCCTTGGGGATGCCATGCACCCTTGTGTCAGCTTTCCTTTGGTGAGATATGTCCTTTCAGGGGGACCTCGAACAGTGTCTGTGTAGCAGGGAGCAGCCTCCTCCTGTGAGTTCTGGGAACAGTGCCAGCCCTCTTCCCACCCCTGGAGCTGGGGCCATGTTGTCCCATGGGAAGCTGGAGAGGGCCCCTCCGCGCTCACACCGCTCCGGCTTCCCAGCCCTCCTCTGCCCACTCTGCTGGCTCCAGCCAGTCCTTGCCTTGTGGCCCACTGGGTCCTCGGCTCCATTCTGTCCTCCATTCTGTATGTGTGACATCATTCTCTGCCTCCTGTATGCAAACTCCTGAATCTGGGAAGTTCTCCCTCAAGACCCTAAACTCACGGCATACACAAAGACCTGTTTGCCAGGCAAGGTCTCTGGGGCATAAGCATGGGCACCACAGTTTGACCCCCAGATTGTCCCCGCAGGGACCCAGAGTGCAGCAGAGTGATGGGAAGAAGGTGGTAAGGACCATGCTGGAGGCGAGCCAGGGCCTGCTGCCCAGGCCGGGCCCTGCAGGGGACACTTCCGAGAATAGGGCTTTGTTGGGATCGTAGATTCAGTAAGCAGGTAATTGTCATGGTAGAGAGTAATGGGGCCTCTGAAATGGTGCCCATCTGTGCACAAGTGAACCTGGCCGCTGTCACATGCCTGTCCACTCACGTTTCTCCCTATTCTGTGGGGGACTTGGCTTGTCCCCAGCAGCCCACGTGGCAAACCAAGCACGTGTGTCTGAAGGCCCAGCCCTATCTGCTCTGCAAGGGGGTGGCTAAATCGGAGACAGCAGCACTGCTGCTGCCCAGCCTGGGAGCAGCCACCGCCACAGCCCCGCACCGCAGGGCTCAGCAGCCCCTCTGTGTCCGAGCATGCACTCGGGTCTCCAGAAGTGGTAACCATGGGTCCCCCCACCTCTGCTGATGCAGGCCATGTTCGAGCTGGTCACCTCTGAGGCCTCCTACTACAAGAGCCTGAACCTGCTGGTATCCCACTTCATGGAGAACGAGCGGCTGAAGAAGATCTTGCACCCGTCCGAAGCCCACATCCTCTTCTCCAACGTGCTGGACGTCATGGCTGTCAGCGAACGGTGAGGCCTGAGGCCAGCACGCTGTCATGGGGCCGGGCACACTCAACTCACTGCATTTGCACATTTGGAGAGTTCCACTATAACATATAATTGCTAAAGATGTAAATCCAGAGACCCACCACACTCCCAGTAGTCAGCCAGTGGGTGCCCTGGGTCCCTGGCTATCTTCCTGGGTACTTCCCCATGGAGTCCCCATGGAGCTGTGAAGTGGGGACCCTCTGCCAGTGTCTCTGTGTTCCTCATTCTGTCCCCACCTGGAAGCAGACAGTGCCTCTGCAGTATGCCCTGTGGTCCCTGCTGTGAAGGATGCCCTGGCCTCACTGGATGTGCACAGGTCTGTCCTGCCCAGGGACATGGTCCCGACCCTGACCCATCTGCTGTCTCTGGCAGGTTCCTCTTGGAGCTGGAGCACCGGATGGAGGAGAACATCGTCATCTCCGATGTGTGCGACATCGTGTACCACTACGCAGCTGACCACTTCTCGGTCTATATCACCTACGTCAGCAACCAGACCTACCAGGAGAGGACGTACAAGCAGCTGCTGTGAGTGCCCCGCAGGGGGGTGGCGGCCACCGCTGCCCATCACCTCTGCATGCCCAGGGTCCCACTGGGCCCAGCGCAGCCAGGCTGGGGTAAGATGCAGAGCCAGCAGGTGGCAGGGCATTTTGGTCCTAGTAGAGGACCATTAAACCAGCTGGACCCACATCCCAGCCTGCATGGGCACCCGGAGCTCAGGGATGAGTGAGGCCAGGTGATCGCAGCCCAGCCATCGGGACAGGGGCTCTGAACTCGTGACAGGCAAGGTACGGGTGGGAAGGAGGCTCTCTGATGCTACCCAGCAACGCGCTTGAGTTTATGGCTGCTCTACTTTCAGAACTGCCCTTGAGGTTTCTGTTGACAGGATGACTTTTCAGTCAACTGTGCCTCTTTGAATTGCTTGCATGGACACTGTCTTAGCTCTGCTGAGAGCATCGGAGGCATCTCTAGTAGGCACTGCCCAAGGCGGACAGAAGGGTTTCCGGTAGAGGGGCCTCTGCTTGGGAAAGAGGAGCAGGCTCGCTGCCCAAGCTACACTGCAGGTCACAGCCTCTGCATGTCCCAGAGCAGAGGCAGGGCCAGGCTTTATAGGACAGGCAAGTCATTGGCAGGAAAGAGAAAGCAGCAGTAGTGGCCCCTGTCCCCCTCCTGTGCCTTGGGCCTGGGGGGCGGTCCTGGGGACACTTGTTATGGAGAGAAAACCTGTCCTTGAAGACAAGATGGCCAGCTTCCTGGGGCTGGGTCTGCAGGCAGCTTGCAGAGTGGCCTGAGGGCTCCCGGCGTCGGAGCGCTGCGCTTTGGGGGCTGTTCCACGGGCTTTGTGGGCTGTCCAGCCACGTGGCGAGGCATGGATGCTTGAGAGTGGGAGTGTCCAAACACAGGTATCTTATGTATGCGTTTGGGAACTGGAATTGGAGGGAAGCATACACTGATTTTGCAGTCAAACACTGGGAAGACAGGTGTCCCGCAAAGTAGCGCTTGTATGCGGTGTTATGGAGAAATAAAGCAAGCATTAACATTTCTAAAATTTATTACAATAAAAGGCACAGTGCCAATAATCTCCCCCAAAATATTCTCCTATATTTTGAACGTCCTTAGCCCATTGTTCTTGCTGCTTTTTTTGCTAGTACGTGGTGGCAGTACATAATGACTGCGTCTATCACGGACGATATTGTACACCACACAACTGTACAGCCGCTCTCTGCTCCTTCTCCTTTGGCCCCCTTCCCATGTGCTAAGGCTCTACTTTCATTATCTTTTGTCCCCTTATTTTTTAAAATCCCTGTTCCCTCCTGCCACTCTCTGAGGCCGCTCTGGAGTCCTCTTTGGTGGGTGTCCCTGGCTGCACTGCTGTGCCTGTCTGGATGTCCTGAACTGGCTCCACACATTTGCCTTTTGTGGTCATTTGGACTCTGGGGAAGAGCTAGGAGTCACACAGTGCCAGATCTGGTGAATGAGCAGCACGAGGCCCCAGGGCCACGGTTTATGGTCCTGCCCTTCCATCGGCTGGAACCCAGCAGCAGCATTCACTGTAGTTTGATCACACTGTAAAGACACTCAGAGAAGAGGACTTCCAGAACTGCTTCAGAAAGGCAAGAGTGGTAGGCTGTGCTCAAAGCTGGAGGGAGGATTTTCTGGGGATTCAGGGCCACGTATCTTGTACTGTAATCATTATAGAGAGCCCTTCCTGGTCCTCGTCTTGGTCCAGGAAGTTTATATTTGTAATCCCATGGATAAGTTATTGGAATCTGTCAAGTTAATTCCAATCTACCACTTCCAGTGCAACCCACGGCAAGAGTAAAGCCCCTAAAGCATGTTTATAGTTTTGGGGAGCTCAGGGGCCCAAAGCCCAGCCGTGCCTTGGCTATCCGGAACAGTGGCCTCGGCCCAGGGCTGAACCCGGGTTTTATTCAGTCATGAAGGAGTAGTGACTTGAGAATGGGTGACTGAGAGTGGCAGGAAGTAGGTGAGCGCTGTGAGCTGGGCTGGGGAGGAGGCCTGCAGTCACCTCTGCGGTATGCAGAGAGAAAGATGTACAGAGAGCCGTCTGTACTACACAGTTGGGACAGTATTTAATGTTTGGGGTCTGGTGCTTCAGCTCTGATGTGTGATCTTTCAAGGCCCCAGAAGTCGTAGCCTTTATGTCAAGGCAATCTCAGCCGACAGCGTAGAGCATTGGCTCTTTGTCCCGTCTCAGTTCGGCTCATATTAAAGAGCAGCAGGGGTGGATTATCAAGGAAACATACCTGCTGACTTCAGAGACTACCCCCAGCTCCTCGGCTAGACCAATATGCCCTGCTCAAAGCCAATTGAAGGAATCAGGCAAAATCCTGGCTAGCTCTGTGCACATTAATACATGGAAATACCGTCAGGCACAGCCAACATGGAGAAAATCACTCTTCGTTCAAGGAGAGTCGCCCAGGTGGTCCTCCACATAATCTTTTTTTTTTTTTTTTTAATTAAACATTCACTGCATATTTTGATCATACCCTGTTGAGGGCAGTGCTCAAGAATCCCAGGTGTGACACTTCACTGCGCCTGTGAGCTCAGAGTGCCTGGCCTCGGTACTGCAGGGAGGCCACAGCCATCCCTGTGTGCCTGGCCCTGTGACTCAGCTCCACGGTGCCTGAGCCCTGTCAGCACCCACCCTGCCCCTGTCAGGAGTAGCTTCTTGCCCGGGCAGGTGTCTGGAGCCTGCTCCTCGCACCACGTGGGTTCACCTTGCTGTGCTTCCTGCTGCGTGAAGTCATCTAATTGTGCACCAGATTCACAGGCGTGGCAGCACGTGGAATTCTTGCCCTCCCACACACACGTTTCGCATGCCAGGCCTAAGGTTCCTTGGGCCTGGCATGCGAAACCACTATTGTTCTTTGATGTGTGCCTGAGCAATGTGTTTTCCATGAAAAAAAGTGAGACAGAAAGAACAAAGGTGCTACATTGCTGTGCCCGTGGGCTGTCTCCTTGGGGGTCTGGATGGTGGAAGCGATGTGGTCGCAGCCTGACCTGAGCCCCCCGCCGCGTCTGTGTCCCCAGACAGGAGAAGACAGCTTTCCGGGAACTGATCGCACAGCTGGAGCTTGACCCCAAGTGCAAGGGCCTGCCCTTCTCCTCCTTCCTCATCCTCCCCTTCCAGAGAATCACCCGCCTCAAGCTGCTCGTCCAGGTCAGCCCCTCTGCAGGCATGTGCTCCTCCCCTCCGACATCGGTCCTCACTGTCCGGGCTGCTGGCTTTCTAGGAAATGCATTTGTTCAGCAAACACTAATTAAGCTGCTTGTGTGTTCCAAGCACTTTTCTAAGCAGGGAGCTGCATTCTACTGGGGACAGACTGATACATGGGCAATAAATGGAGCACCCCAGTAAGGGGTGACTCTGGCCACTGTCAGTGCAAGGGTTGGGAAAGACGGGACAGTCAGTGAGATTTAGCTTGGGAGGAGCTGGCCAGGAGGAAACATGGGGGAAAGAGCAGTCCGTGGCTGGGGTCCTGCGTGTGCATGGTGCACAGACAAGTCCCCAGCAGGGAGCTGGGGGAACACGACTGGGTGAGTGTGCAGCCCTGTGGAACAGGAGCAGGAGCAGGAGCAGGCACTGGCCTTGAGCTCGAGCTATTGGGTATCCAAGGTCAGGTCAAAGGGAGAGGTCAGGGCCCAAGTTCCAGCATCTGTGGTGTGTAGGAGAAGCGACCAGCAGGGAGGGAGAGCAGGGAGGGAGAGCAGGGACTGGGCCACAGCTGGAGGAGACAGCATGAGTAGGGTGAGGTGGCAGCTGGCCCTGGGGGAGGGGTCCTGCCTTGCCATGAGGCCACCAGGGAGGGTCATCTGGTCATGTTCTGAGCTGCAGGAAGCCACCAGCTCCAGACAGAAAGGGTCTCTCCCTACACTGATGGGTGACCTGGGGGTTGTGGCCAGGAGAGGTCAGAGGTCAGGCAGCTGGACATACCAAGACAAGGCTGGTGGGGGAGGTGTGGACCTGGCTGAAGGACCCACACATCCTCCTTGGAGGCCACCAGTATGACCTGGTCAGGTGGGATTTAATTCCAGGGAAGAAAGACAGCATGTGCTGTGCTATTCAGTGGGGATCCAGATTTGGGAGCAGGGAATCAAGAGTGACAGGGTTTGTAATAGCACTTCATGGTGAGGAGGGCAGGCCAGTCTCTGGTGGCCCATGGCTTCCTGGTTTAGCTTCCAGACAGAGGAAGCCAGGTAACCTTATAAGAGAAGAGCTGAGTGGCGTCAGGGCCTTGCCACATGCCACATGTAGCCCTGGGAGATCAGAAGACCTACAGGCCCCCTCTTGAGACAGAGCAGGTCAGAATCTGCAGGCGGAGTGAAAACCAGGGGCAGGGCCCAAGTCCTGACTTATTCTGCTAATCAAAGAAAATTGAACAATTAGAAGAAAGGTCTTTTACTGTTGGGGACAAAGTTAACAAAGCCTCAGGGCCATGGTGGCCTGGGCTCTAAGGAGAGCCTCAGAAGAAAGGCGGGGACCCTCACCCATGCACGCATTAACTCCCTGTGGGGACAGAACAGAGATGGTATCAGCCTCTGTCCATCCCCTCAGGGCCATGGGCCTTGGGTCACTGCTGTGTGGCCCAGCTAAGGGTCCCTTGAGCTCAGCCAGTCACATGGAGAGCTCTTGGTGTGCCATGTGGGGTGTGTGTGTGTGTGTGGTGGCCTGAGGGTGGCAGGAAGGCCAGAGGCCACACTGAGAAGTAACTCACCTATCCTGGCTCAGAATATCCTGAAGAGGGTGGAAGAGAGGTCAGAACGTGAGTGCACCGCGCTGGACGCCCACAGGGAGCTGGAGATGGTGAGTGGCTGCCCCTCGGCTGTCCCAGCAGGACCCCAAGTGGTTTAAGATGAACTTCTGTATTGGGAAAGCTTGTAGGTTGAGAAGCTCGCTGACGTGATTTTAGCTGAGCCTCCCCTCTCCCCACTGTGTTCCCATGGAGGGGCTTGGGGCAGCCGGCGAGCCCCCAGAGTCTCCTTGTGCTCTGTACCCCACCAGTCCATCCAGCCCTGCTGGGCAGCAGCCGCTCTGGGCCCCAGAAGGCCCTCAAGTGCTGTTGTCGTGAGAGCCCCATGTGTCGTGGCCCTGAGGGGTCTCCCTGTGGTCAGCCCAGGGCCAGGCCATTTTAAGTTCTTTTCTCCTTTCATTTCCTCTGGTGGTAGTGGGGGTCTGCAGGGTGGAACCCAGGGCTTTCCCCCTGAGCTACATCCTCAGCCCTTTTAAAAAATTTGTTACTGCTAAGTCGCCCAGGCTGGGCTTGGACTTACCATCTTCCTGCCTTAGCCTCCTGCTTGCTGGGATTACAGCACGCGCCACCACACCCAGCTGCCTTTTTCTTCTAATGAAAGGTACACTCTGTTTTCTCATAGCTTACTTTGTCAAAGTAAATATATATATTTTTGAATTTATAAAAGTAACTGATGCTTAATACAGGAAAATTCAAAAGGTACTCGTAAGCAAAGAGGCAGTAAGAGAGCTGCCAGGCTGTTCCACACCCGCAGCTGGTAGGCTGCCTCCTGCCTTCCAGATGGACGCCTGCACACGCACACACAGCCGAGGCCTCAGCAAAGAGTTGTGGTTCCTCAGCCATAGGTTTTGCTGCCTGTTAGCTCACACAGAGTTAACTTCATTTTTGAGTGGTTTCTTAGCCCTTGGGCGCACAGATGAACTGTAACTACCTGTATCTCAGCCCCTTTATGCCAGGCTCCTAGTTCAGTCTCATCCTAAATAGCTCTGGAGAGAACAAGTCCCTGCTAACAGCACGCTCGATGTCCAGGACCACCGCATGTGGCCATGTGTCATGCCGGGCTCTGTCCTGTTCACCCAGGTGTTGTGTCTGGTCACAGGGATGGCTGGGGACCCTTGGGTGACCTGGCCCACTGGACTGTCTTTTTTGTCACAGGTGGTGAAGGCGTGCAATGAAGGCGTCAGGAAGATGAGCCGCACGGAGCAGATGATCAGTATTCAGAAGAAGATGGAGTTTAAGATCAAGGTAAGCCTGACCTCAGCCAATGCCTGCCCCCCGCCCCCCGCCACCTGGGACACCCCACCCCCAACCCCTGCAAGGTTGCTCTACCTACCTGGACTTGCTGCCTGACAGTCCACTGCCTGCCCTGGGTGAATCCCACTGTGGGGTGCTGGCTGCACCCTAATCAGTATACAGTAAGGGGGACCATGTAGAGATCACGTGTAGTATGGAATACACAGGCAAACACCATGCACACGGCGCACTCCCAGTGTACAATTCCCGCACCAGCTCGGCACTGCTGTTGGGACCCAGGGGGTGGCAGGGAGGGTGACAGCCTAGGCTGCCACTCAAGCACCCCTGGAGGCTGGGGAGCACAGGGAACACCATGGCAACGTAGTCCCTTCCTCTCCCTCTCTCCCTCCCAGTCTGTCCCCATCATCTCGCACTCCCGCTGGCTGCTAAAGCAGGGTGAGCTGCAGCAGATGTCGGGCCCCAAGACCTCCCGCACCCTGCGCACCAAGAAACTCTTCCGGGAAATTTACCTCTTCCTCTTCAATGACCTGCTGGTGATCTGCCGGCAGATCCCAGGGTGAGCAGCGAGGGTAGGCCGCCTGTGGGGTGGGGAAGCATGGCCAGTGCATTCATGGCCAGCATCATGCCTGGGCTGACACCCTCTCCCATGGCCTTGCTTCCCAGGGACAAGTACCAGGTGTTCGACTCCGCCCCACGGGGCCTGCTGCGTGTGGAGGAGCTGGAGGACCAGGGCCAGACGTTGGCCAATGTTTTCATCCTGAGGCTGCTGGAGAACGCCGACGACAGGGAGGCCACCTACATGCTGAAGGCATCCTCTCAGTGAGTGCTGCACCTCGCCCACAAACACCTCCAGAAGCCCCAGGGCAGCAGTGCTTACCAACACCTGACCCCACCTGGTGCCCATCTTACCACCAGGCCCTGCAGGACTTCTGCCAGGCTGTTAGTGCAGGCTGCTGGCTCGGTCCTGAGTGTTGTGGCCATGGGGAGGGTGGGTGTCAGGTGAGTCCCTGCTCCCAGATGGGACTTTAGAATCTGGGGACTGACAGATGTCTCCCCAGCCCCTCACTTGCTGTGTGGCTGTTCTGCCCCTCTCTGGGGGATAAGCCAGGAGAGGTATTGTGTGCCTCCCCGCCCCGCACTCCCTTGTGGGCCCCTCCTCCCTCTCCTCTGTCTTGCCACACACGCCACACCCCCTCCTCCAGCACCCTGGCCTTGTCTGCCAGGACTGCAGCTGGGGCAGGGGTGGACATTCACCTTTCCCATCTCTGCCATGGCTGAGAAAGCACGGCTTCAGTGAAACTGGCTCGGAACATACTTTTGGAGTTAAATGTGTAGGACCCCACCTGTCTCCCAGGCTCTGGGCCTACCTGTCCCCTGTGCACCCTTGGTAGGGCTAAGGGTGGCCGCCACCTTCCCCGGGGGTGGTTTTGCTCTTGTGCTGCAGTGGGCCATGTCCTCTTCCCTGTGCCAGGAGTGAGATGAAGCGTTGGATGACCTCTCTGGCCCCCAACAGGAGGACTAAGTTCGTTTCCTTCACGTCCCGGCTGCTGGGTAAGACCCCACCAAGGTGGCTTCAGCAGCACCTTGTAGTGCTGGGGGAAGTGCCCACTAGGTTTAACCCCAGGCCAAGAGTGCTGGCTCCTGGCGTGGCCAGCATGGAGTGGTTTCTGAAGACAGAAGGCACTCCTGGGCCTTAAGTGACACAGATCTCTGGAAGGCTGGGAGGAAGTGGGGACCCTAACTGCAGCAAGCTTTGGGGGCAACAGCAGTTTGGAAAGCATGTAAGATCCCAGGGCTTTCTGCTACCCCTTGTCCTGCGCCCCTCAACTGTCCCCAGCACAGAGCCCCAGTGCCCTTGAGCTGACAGCAGCCTGCAGTTGGGAGTACCCTTCCCTGCTGTCTCCCCAACTCCCCAGGGACTTAGGAGCTAGCCTGCCCCTCCCTACATGAAAGGAACCCTTTGTCAGCAACTGGGGAGCCCATGCCCCATTCCCTATCCCCAGCCACTGCTCCAAGCTGTCCGGGGTGTGGGGCAGGCCGTGGGCCCCAGCGCTGGGGACACGCCATGCCCTCTTTTGCCTGCAGACTGCCCACAGGTGCAGTGCGTGCACCCGTATGTGGCCCAGCAGCCAGACGAGCTGACGCTGGAGCTGGCGGACATCCTGAACATCCTGGAGAAGACGGAAGACGGTGAGGCCCCTGAGACTGCGCGGGGCCGCCCACTGGCCAGCACCCGCTTTTCCCTCTGGACTCAGATGACTGCTCAGTGCTGCGTGGCCCTTGCCCTGTCCTGAGAAGGCCTGGCCTTGACCCCTGTCACAGTGCAGGGAGCAGCACAACAACCTGCAGCACCCTGGCCCTCACCCTGACCCCAACACCACTTGGGCAGTGAGGGCTGGGAAAGCCCATGAACATAGACTCTGGGCCAGGGTAGGCTGAAAAGCATCCTATTCCCCCCAGCCCTGCAGATGGCAGTGTTGCTGAGGAACTGAACCCCTACCCTGCTGTTGGGTCACCTGCCCCAACTTGTTTCTACATTCATGTCTCCCAGTCATAGTCCTCTCGGTGCCCGAGCCCTCTCTCTGCCCAACTCCTCCTCCACCACAGGTCCTAGCCTCCATCTGGCTCCTCATTCCCAAAGTCCTGCGACTCTCCTCTCTCCACCCCAATGCATACAACCTGACCCTTTCAGATGACCTGTCTAGGGCACAGTGAGGGCTTCAAATGGAGGATGTGCCACAGGTGCAGGCCCTGGGAAAAGTCTCTGGGGGCGGAAGGATGAGAAAGCAGGGAGTGAGAAGCCGGTACACCTTGGACTCCAGGTGTCACCAGCTCATGGCGACCACCCCTGCAGTGGGAAACGCTGCCCAGCAAGAGGGGGACCCCAGAGTGCAGTGGGGTCAACCCAGTGGCTGGCTGCCACAGCCCTCAGATGCACTAGCTTATGGGGAGATTCCTGGGGGCTCCTTAGTGAGACTGCTGTGATGGGCTCTGGAGTGAGCAGGGACATGGGTGGCAGGGCCCCCAGCTCCCTGGTCTCTGCAGCACATGGCAGTGCACTGTGGCCCCCAGCTTTGCCCCATGCACACATAGGAGCCTGACTGGGTGGAGCCGCCCCCCAGGGTGCTGATGCAGTTGCCCTTCCTTGCAGGGTGGATCTTTGGCGAGCGTCTACATGACCAGGAGAGGGGCTGGTTCCCCAGCTCCATGACTGAGGAGATCCTGAACCCCAAGATCCGCTCCCAGAACCTCAAGGAGTGCTTCCGAGTGCACAAGATGGAGGACCCTCAGCGCAGCCAGAATAAGGACCGGAGGAAGCTGGGCAGCCGGAATCGGCAATGACCTCCACTGTAGTTGCCAGCCTGATGCAAGGATGTGGGCAGAGGAGCAGGCTGGTGGGGGCCGCAACAGACACAGAGGGCTCCTGGGTTCTTGGGAAGGACAGGTCAGGGCCACCCCAGGCCAGGTGCACGTCCCATCCCTGCCCACACAGTGAGTGTCCGAGTGTCTCTGCCCTTGCTGGCACTGATGTACAGGCTGAGATGGTGCCTGCCTGACCATCTGCAGAAGAGGAGTGTCAGGTGGTGTCACATCCACCCCCCTGGTCTCTGGGGGCCTCTGGGTACTGGCAGAGGCCCAGAGCCAGGTGTCCCTGGTGGGGTCAGGCGGAAGGTGAGGACTGTTGTGATCCCTGCACTGCACGTGTCCTTCCCCACCAGGCACCCAGAGGGCCACCCTTGCCTGACAGCTTCCAAGCGGCCCTTGGTCTCCGGCTACTGGGACGAGACCAGCCGCCTCCATCCCCCTCCAGCGCCTCGGCCACCCTGGCCACATAGCAGCCCACTCCACACAGGCCCAGCAGGGCTTGGCTGAGTGCCCACCTCTGGCTTCTCCGCAGCCAGCGTGACTTGTGTTTTCTGGCCCCTTTGGAAGCCCAGGTGTCTTATGGAATGAATTGGTCACTGCATCCTGTATGGTTATGGTTCCAAGAAAAGCAAATTCCATTTTTGGCTGCATTAAAGAAGCATCATGTATTAAATTAGAAGGAAAGGCCTGTTCTTTATTGCCAAGGTTCTTGGGGAAAAGGTGTTTGGTTCTGGGCTGGGAGGGGGCTCTAATGAGAGGGTCTCCAGGGAGGGTGGGGGGGGTGATATCCAGGGAAAGAAAACTGCAGTCATGCCTGGGGTCGCCCTGTAAGGAAGCTCCACAGAGAGGGCCGTGTGGGTGCTGGGGGGCTTCAGGCTAGACGAAGTGGACAGGCTTGCAGGGCACTGAGATGCCAGTGCACAGCGGGTCCCCATGGGATGAGACCTCAGGTCTGGGGCAGGGCTGGGGGGCCCGTACCCTCCTGGCCTACAGTGGCACCAGCTCCTGCCAGGCACAGCAACTCCACCCCTGCCGCAGTCCCTCTTGGGACTCCCAAATTTGGCCAGGGTTCTCTCTTTCATATCTAGACCAGATTTGAAGCCAGACATGGTACCTGTGGCATCTTCCAGAGCTGAAGGGGCCCCTGGCTGGTGAACAAAAGCCTCCAGGGCTCCTGTTGGGCGGGGGTCTCTAGTCTGCTTCCCAGTCCCCAGGAGTGAGGAGGAGGAGGGGGAGGGATTAGGACCAGGAGTTGCCCAGACCCTGAAGCTGGATGCAGCAGATTGAGTCCAACCATCTGCCCCAGCAATGGCTTTGGCTACTCCCAGTTAAGTGAAGTAATTTCAACAGCATTTTGGTGTGTGTGTGTGTGTGTGTGTGTGGCCAGCTCAGTCCACCAGGGGGCGCGGCTGGCTGGCATGTGGTGCTGGGGGATTGAACCGTGGTCCCTGTGCTCTGCCAAGCTTGTTCTAAATAGGTGCTTTAGACCACTGAGCCATTTCACCAGCCCCTCAACAGCATTTTGTAACAAATGTTTAAACCATGATGTGTTTGGGGGAGACTGCTGGAATAGGGGCTGCCCCGGTGTCCGGGAGGGGACAGGTAAACCCCCTGAGCTCCCTGGAGTGTCCAGCACCCCACACTTCAGACAGGATCAGGTGCCATTTAGGGCTCAGGAAAGCCAAAGTGGACAAAACTGGTGACAAGATGATTTAAAAAAAAAAGCCATGGTGGCATGTGACGGTAATCTCAGCACTCAGGAGGCTGAGTCAGGAGTACGGCATGCTCCATGCCTTTGGGGTCTATCATAGCAAAACTACCTTCTCCAAAAATAAAAGAGGAAAGAGGAGCAAAGATCTTCTCGTGCATCCTCACCCAGCGACTCTTCCCCCAGTGGTTGCTGAAGTTCACAGCCACAACTTCAGGCCAACTAGAGCAGGCCACCAGGAAACCCCTTTAGACTATCATAGGGGTGCAATCCTCCAGCCAGGTGTGGAAGGCGGCTGGCCTGGGGAAGGACAGCGTGCCAGGGTGAGCTACAGACAGAGCGGTGGAGAGTGGTGGAGAGCCTGCTCCTCTTCTTGCAGGAGTCTGGGCCCCCTGCTGCCCCATGAAGTAGGGTAACGGAGGGAAGTGGTAGGCTACTGTGCGGCTCCTGGGCCCTCTTCCCACGGCACCAAGCCCCAAGGTGCGAGCACAGAGCAGGATTGAAAAGGCCTCTAGCCACCCCACCTGAGCCTTGAGATGGGTGGAAAAGGAGGGGTTGGGGGGAGGGAACAAGGGATAACACGTTTTGACTCGCCCCTCAACTCGTCCCATTCTTGGGTCTCCCGGGAGTAGAGGGGTCCTTGGAGCAGAGCGAGTGGAGGGCCAGGGGATCTTAGAGCAGTCAGGCTCCCCCAGAGCCAAAAGACGCCCCTCAAAAGTAAGCTGGTCGGAGCACAGGACTGCGGGTCTGGGACCTTGCTCCCCTTCCCGGGCCGCGAGGGGGCGCGCGGAAGCGGAGGGGACAGGGCAGGCGGGGCGCAGTCGGAGCTGCGAGCACGGCAAGGCCCATGCACGCGCACAGCGTGGCACCCCTCAGCCCCCACCCCCCACCCCCGCTCCCGGACCCAGCGCGCACGTGTGTGCCACTCGCCCCTGCCCCGCCCCCACACCTCCCCCACTCGCGCAGGCGCAAGCGCTGACACAGGCACAAGAGGGAGGATGCAGCCGAGTGGCACACGCACCCCTTCGGCTCCTTTATTTACTTCACGACGCAGAAAACTTCCTCAGCGCGACGACCACGAGCGCCAGCACCACGCACGTGGCCAGCAGGGCAGCGATGACTATGGCCGCGATGGCGCCCGGCCCCAGCGAGCCTGTGGAGGACCGGAAGCGTCAAGCCAGTCCACCCGAATTCCCGTCCCGTCCCGGCCCACCCCACCCCGCCGCGACCCGCCTGAATCGCACCTGCACCCTGGTCCAGCCGCTCCTGCGCTGTGCTGTCCTCGGGGCCCGGCGCCGACGTGGGCCCCGACGGGCCGCTGGGCAGGTGCTCTTGGCCGGGACTAGTACTGTCCACGGCGCCTTCTCCTGATGGCAGCTCTGCCGGCTCGTTCCACAGGGTGGGGCTGGGCTCCTGCGGGCCCTCAGCTGCAAAGCCAAGGACAGGCTGCTGTTGGTGGTGGGCTCCGAGGTGCAACACTGCAGGCGAGGAGGCACCTGCGGAATTCACCCCAAGGCTGTGGGGCCATGTGCCTGTCACCCAAAGCCCTTGCTGGCCGGGCTGCTCCGCCCATGAGAGGATGGATTGATGGGGTGTGCAGGGTTGGGTACACTAGGCTTTGGTGGCAGCATGGTCTCTTGCATCTAAGCAGAGGCTGTGCGAGCCCTTTTAGGTGACAGCCCTGAAGACTCAGGCCAGCCTTCACCAGGGACAGTGCCCATTCCTGTTGAGCACTCCATTGCCCCCAGAATACACCACAGGCCTGCGGTGGCTAGACACCACCACTCTTCTGCCCAGGGGTTCTCCTACCTCCGCTAGGAGCCCAGTGCACACGCCATCGCCCTCGGTCAGCACAGCAGATTGGAGCCCCCCTCCACTCAGAGGATCCGCAGGTGCCTGCGGCCCGTTCTCATGGGCATCACCCCCAGGGACCCCATGCCAGGCTCCACAGCTGCAGGACAGGCTGCTCAGAGGAGACAGAAGGACCTCTGGGGAGGATCTTCCTGGGTGGGGCAGAAGCGCTGTATGAAGGGCGTTTTGATTGGTGAAGTCAGAATTGTTGACTAGTGCAGTAGTAGCTCAGACTACCAGTGTTTGTCTCCCGCTTTTGATTGCAGGGCCTGATTGTGTGAGGGAAAGCCCTCATTCTCATGAAGAATTTAGGGGGAGAGGTGTGAGGGCTACAGCTTAGCTCAAGTAACCCAGCACTCTGGAAAGGCAGCCATCAGGCCCAAGGACCTAAGATGGTGGACGGGTTGGCAGAACCTTGCCAGCTGGTGAATCTAGGCAGAGGTCTCTTTGATTTCACTATTTTGGCAGCTTCCTGTGAACCTAGAATATTCTCACTGTAAAATGTTACCAGGTTCTTAGCTTTCCAGGCCCTGCCCCTCTTGGCTTTTCTGAGGCTCAGCTGGCAGGCAGGCTGTGAGCCCCAGGGTTCTCCCTTGTCATAAGATTCCAGGCCAGAAGTCCTCCAACACAGGGTCCAGGGTGAATGGTAGTGCATTTCCGGCTGGCCTCCTACGCACCCACCTGGAAGACCCTGTGAGGAGGGAAAGTGACCCAGCTGGCGCTCCCAGGCAGGCCCAGGGCTAAAGCCTCAAAGCCCCAAAGAAAGGACCCACGCCTGAGGCATGCTGGTCTCAGGCTTCCAGGGCTGGGCCGAGAAAAGGCTCCAGCATGCCTACCACTTGGCAGGCCCTGAAGGCTGGGGTTTACAGGTTCCTGTCTGCCCCGAGATGGACAAGTCACTGGCCCCAAGGCAGAAGGGCAGGCCCACACCTCCCTGTCCTACCACTGCTGGACAAATCTCACCTTCAGTGCTGGGCATCAGGCCAAGGAGGCCACCCCAGCCCCCAGTGGGGTGGGGTCTGGCAGTCCTGAGCCACAGGCTGAGCTGGACCAACCCACTGGCAAAGGGTGGGGGAGTAGCTGCGGGGGGACCAAGGCACTGTCTTCATCTGATTTCTCTGTTTCTGAACTTGGAATCATTGAAAGCCTAGCTTAAATGTAGCCTCCCTAGATCTGTCCTGGGAAGCCAGAAGCAAAATGGCAGGGTCGCTCTCTGCTAGTGCTCCTGCAGGAGGCCTGGTTGGAGAGGTAAAGATAGGAAAATAGGGCTGGGGATATAGCTCGGTGGTGGAAGCGCCTTCCTGGCCAGTGCAAGGTCCCAAGTTTGATCTCTGGTACTGGGGTGGGGGGGAAGATGGGGGAATAAAGGCAGCTGATGGACCCACAGGAACAAATGTGTGGCATGACCAAGGGACAGCAAATGAGGCCTGGGAAGGGGACGCCACAGAGGACCCCACAGAAGGACTCTCCTGTCTCACAGGATGCAACCCTGCACTGAAAGTGCCATGGGACTTCATATTCTGGCTAGGGAAATCGAGGCCATGGTGGCACTGCCCAGACCTGGGCACCAGGGGCTTCCCTGGGCCCCACCACCCCCAACTGGCCTGCCTTTGGGTAAATAAGTTTGTTCAACTCTCGGTCTGACCACAAGGCCCTGGGAACTGGGTGGCTGTGCTCACAGACGGCCTTTGTGCGGCCCATGAAGGGCCTTTTCATCCCTGCCCTGGCCTCCCGCCCACTCAACCTGGCTTGCCCCCCACCTTGGTGCTGTGGCCACAGACCTGGACCTGGGCCTCAGCCTCTGGGCCACTCCTTCCCTCCTGCCAGCTGCAAGACCCCAGCCCTGGGGACAGGCAGGGACTGTGGCCTTGCTCACACATGCTTGACCCCCCCCCCCCAGCCCTTCCAAGTTGGAGCTGGGACACTCAGCAGCCCCACACCCAGGCAGGGCTCCTTGCTTTTGGTAGGACACAAGGAGGGAAAGGCAAGGCCTGGAAAGGTCCTTCCTGGCTGTCCCCAGAGCCTCCTGTGGCAGATGCAGCCTTTCATCCCCGCAGTGGCCAGGAATGGTGGTATCATTGGGAATTAGGGTAGCCACCAGCGATGCAGATGCCCTGTGCTCAGGTCTCTCCCTTGGTCACAGGACCACCGGGCTTGTTCAGTGATCTCGTCACCTGCCCCGGGGTCGCTGGGTGCTCCCCTTGGAGGACATTCCGTCCACCCTGAGCCTGACAGACGGGAAGGGAAACTGCATAGCTCTCATGCTCACTGAGCACTGGCTGGGCAGCTGGCATCCCGAGCCCTGCTTGTGTGGAGAGGCAAGTCACCTCCTATAGATGACAGGCCACTGAGGGGGCCAGAGGCAAGCCAGACTGGGAGTTGCCCCCTGCAGGCCAGAGGGTCACCTCTACTGCCCTTGCCTTCCGGTGTATGGCTAGGTTCCCACTGCAGTGGGGGTCCTAGCATTCTCCGCAAGCCACATGCTCACGTCTAGTCACCCCTTCAGCCCAAGATGTAGGGCCATGACACAGTGGGCACACCAGCAGCCCTTTGTTGTAGCCATGGGCCAAAGGGTGGTGACTGCTTTGCCCAAGAGCAGACCCCTCCGATACCCTCCTCACCTTTCTATTCAAGAATCTGGGGCTCGTGCGCTCTGAAATTTCTCCCAGAATGTGGATGCCTGGGTTTTTACTCTAAAGGCATCACCAAACCAGTAGGAAATGCTTTCAGGATGTGCAACGCGACAAGGCTCTGTGGTCCAGACGCCCAGTGGCTGGGCCTCTGGCTCCCAGCTGCTTGCCCACGTCTCTAGCCCTGGGCTGTCCTCCCTCTCCAAAAACCATCATCCCTGTTGCTAAGTCCTCAGACATCTACCCAGCTACCAGCAGATTCACTCCAAATGCTGGCTCTTCTCCCATCAGCATAGTCTGCCAAGGTGGTTCTGGATCCTGGGGGTCTGTGGCAGCGAGGCAGGGCCTGTACCCCTTACCTGTGAGCACTGTGGGGGTCAGGACCCCGGAGACGAGCAGCAGGGCCACACGCAGGGCCAGACAGGACGCCATCCTGGCCAGGAGTGAGTGTGGCCGGCAGGACGCAGAGGACTGGGCTGCTGCACCTCAGCCGCGGGAAAGAGGCATCAAAGGGCTGGGGAGGGTTTTCATCAATGCAAACTCTGTCCTCCTGGGACACTGTGCTCCCCCCACATGTGTGTGTGTGCGCGCGTGCGCGCGCACACACACACAGCACAACCTCACAGAACAGACCCACTTTCCTAAACTCAGGAGCAGCCCCACCCCTGGAGAGGGAAGAAGGAAACTCTCTCTCTCTCTCTCTCTCTCTCTCTCTCTCTCTCTCTCTC